CAGAGCCCCCTCACGGCTGCCCCCTCTGCTCCCGTCCCGCCCGCACCAGCCTCAATCACATCTTTAAAAACCAGCAAGTCACAAAGTAGTCATTTTTGTTCAGAAACAGCACGATATTTATTTAACATCTTTATATATTTATATATATATATATATAATTTTTTCTGCATTGCAGATTGTGTCGAGTTTTATACATCTCTATTTACAATGATTTAAAATAATTATATTTCTTCTCTGGCAGGTATTTACAAAGTCAATAGTAACTACATTTCACATTTCAACAAGTCAACAGCATGAACCAGCTCAGTAAGACAGTTAAGATAATGGCTTACATGCACCAATAACATGATCTTCAATACGTGCCTTCTTCAGGACTAAGAATGAAGACTTTCCCTGGTCCCCAGGTTAAAGGACATCATACAGCAGAGGTCACGGTTATTGAAAACCTGTTTGATTTAGTCCTTCACCAGTACCGAATCTCGAAGGTCTGGGGCTCACACCAGCAAGCAGGGCTGTGCTGGTCAAGAGGGGCTCACACCACCAAGCCATGTCCTTTTGCCTAGCCTTGTGTCCACAGAAGTGGGCTATGTGCTGCTTATGCTCCTTCTATGAGATTAAATAATGCTAAAGTAGTAAAAATCCTCAGAAACCTTAGTTCAGAGAAACAAACTTGGTATGACGGAAAAAGTAAGAAAATAATCTTTTAATCCTCGCAGAATGTGTTATTTTATTTATTTTTTTTTGCTAGTAAAACTGAGAGCAAGTCCTGTATTCTTACAAGGACAAAAACAGATCAAAAATCTCATTGTCAAGTACAGGAATTACAAATTTAAAAAATGCAGCATGGGGTATATATCAATTTAGCTGTTGGGGTCTTCTAATAGCAAATAAAAGCTATCATAGTAAATCTAAAATGTATTAAGAGCAGCTGATTATTAAAAATCTTTATTAGCTTTTTCCTGGAATCTTCAATATGAAAAAAGTGTTAAATGACTCTGTTTTATTTAATCATATGGTATTTGTCCATAAATAACCAGCTAGGAATACCCACCCCTAAAGTATTTACTATGTGCAAGAAAACAGAAGTAATCATTGAACACTGACACACACACACACACATCACACACCCCAGTACTAGGAATCTATTACTATTTTGACATGTTGATTTATCCTGAGTGGTTGTTAACTCACATCTACTGTATACTTGAAGCCACAAAGTTTTTACTACTTGCATTTTTCATAAACTAATAACATGAAATTCTAGCACGACCACAGTAACTGTCTAAACAGAAAGAACAGTGTCAATAGCCAGTATTTCTGTTACTCCCAAGTATTTGTTTTAGAACTAAAGGTAAAAGGTTGCTCTACTTTTTCTGTTTCATGATCAGTTCTGGGGAGGATGAGGACTCAAACACATAGGATTCACTACTGATTTGTAAGAAGTTTCCATGACAAAGCACCATAGAGACACTTTACCAGCAGATACTTCTAAACAGAAATCTCCCCCTGACCATTTTGCCCTCTAAAATCAAAACCTGTGAGAATTCCAAACCACATTTTAAAGCAATTTGAATGTTGACTCCTGAACAGATTATTAATCACTCATTAAAAAGTTGCATCAGAATGCAAAGACAGTCTTCTCTAAACCACTTAAACCTTACAGACTGTAAAACGCTGGGAGCTCACGCCCAAGTGGCTGCTCAATAAAAGTTGATCTCATCACTCTGCTCATCATGCACAAGGTAAAATGCAGGGCAACGTTTTACTGTATGGATACAAAGCTTTAATATACATCTGTTCCCATCAAGCTCCTCACAGGAAAACCTTAAGAATCCTTTATGATAGAAGGGACAATTTATGGACCCATTTTTAATTCAACTGGTCCCTCAGATACTACCTTTGGTAAAATCTGATGAACACAGTTAAATAAAATTCAGGAAAAAGTATAGCCTAGAGAAAAATAAGTGAAAGGATGGAATCAAAATTGTATTTTTTTTCATTAAATCTCAAATACAAAGGATTAAAATGGGACAGATTTTTCTTAATCTTTTTCTGAAGCAGTAAGGTACCCTTAAGACTTGCACAGCTTTCTTCTAAACTTTTAATATCACAGGCCTTGACACTTGACAAACCTACTAGGCAAGTTTATCTAAAATGGCTGGCAGTTGTTTTAAAATCTTGTTCCAAGATTTATTTTAAATAAAATTTCATAATAACTACATGGGAAACCTGGTAAGTATCAGTCTTGCAAAATCTACTTCCTATTTCCAGGAATAAACCAAGTTACTCACAGCTCACCATCATCTTCCACCACTGTGGAAGAGGCAGGCAAGTATTTTGTCTCTTCAGCTGGCCATGACAGAAATTTTGATAGACTGATACATGTATTCACTAACACAACACCCATGTCCTGATTTACTACCCCGAATCACCAACAGAAAACTTTTCAACAGCAAAGTTTATCCAAGTGCCAGTTAGGAAAAAATAAAAATAATGAACAGAGATTAAGGCCCATATGCTAGAACAAAATTTAAAATACTGCTAGAAAATTTAAAATTTAAATTTTAAATTAAAATTTAAAATTTAAAAAATGCTAGAACAGCATTTAAAATACTGAGGACAATATAAAATATAAAAAATTATATAAATCAAGAATGTGATGCAAGTACAGAGGATCTGGCTTGTTTGCTTAGCATGCTTGAAAAGGAGTGATATTTTGCAACTTTAGTCCTGCAATAATCCTAAACAAGAAACTGAAATAAAAGAGGTACATTTACTCTTCCAATGAAAAATATTCCTATGATATAAATACTTGTTACAAATGACATCTAGCTGATGGCTTTAATGTCATGTTAAACATGCCAAGGTAGCAAAATCTTTGGCAGTGAGAGAATTTAAGGATAAGATTATTAGATCTACTAACATCAAAATAATTTCTTTCGTGTGCAGTACATGTTTCATTCAAACATATTCTATTCTATTTTCCCCACCTCCTCTAGGATTATGAGCGCAGTACCTATACTGTGCAGCTTGGTTTTTATGATTTTATTCAAAAAGTTATTCTTGATTCTCTTTTAGTCTTCAAATTAATTTAAATTTGTAAGCCAAGATAAACATGTCTGGTTTGTGACCAAAGTTAAAATGCTGAACACTTAGAGGAGATAGCCATTGGTTCACGATAAAATAGGACAAGTTCAAACTCTTAGGTTAAAATACAGCCATAGCATAGAATTATCTATTCCAAAATTAATTTTTCAAAATATAGTTCTCTGAACATGTTATACATTAAATATTGAGGAAAATTTCCCTGGAGCTACAATTTTCCAAGAACACTAATAAACTTCATTAAAGAAGTAAAACAAACCACATAGTATCTGAAGACAAAAAGCAGAGTTGGGGTCACCTTACTGCAGAGTAGCTTTACCAGCACTAAGATGCAGGTTTCCCCCTTAATCTTGAAAAATACGTTCCTATTTACATACAGTATACACACAGTTGAGGCAATTGATTGTCAGCACGTGACAAATGTATGCACCTACTCACACACAAGTAAACCTCACATGGTGAGAAAAAACCCTGTCCCAGTAAACTCCAGTATTCATAAGTAGTGCAAATAAATACTTTGTCAGAAAATATCTTTTTTTTTTTTTTTCTCACTATATTGATGACTTTAATTACGTTAAAGCTAACAGGAGTATGTTGGGAATGCATTTAAGACCAACACACTTGCAAACTACAAATACTAGATCTAATGCTTACTGGCTGCAACATTATGTTCAGCATTACAGAATGAAGTATACTGTTAAAAAACTTCAAATTCACATCAGAAAGGGTGTTCAAAGAAAACTGCATTTAAAATGGACAGTGATACCAAAGTATGTATTTTGTAAAATTTTCCAAATGAAAACTAAAGGGATAATACAGAAATTGAAACGGTCATTTTGCAACAATAATTTTAATAGGTATTTTTACTGCATCACTTTGCTCTCTGCTGAATGAAAATATGGTTCACCTTTCAAATGCCTTTCAACCAAAAAGCTGCTCACAATAAATCCCTGAAAAGGATAATCAAGCTAGAGTTCACAATCCCAACATTTTGTATTTTCTTAAAATGATAAAGTAAAAAAAAAATATATTGCAAAATGACAGCATATTGTGATGTGTATCAAGGAACATTTCATTTTTCCCTACTGAAGTGTATGGATACATCAGAATCTACCCTTCCTCACCTAAGAATTCCATGTATGTGCATGCTTGCACATATATGGAGGGGAAAATCATAGTTTTCTGCTTCTTGTCCTTTTATAATGTTGCAGTTGCACTCAAACAGTGCAGAAATCTAAACCTAGTGCCTCCAGTACCAAATGTTCTAAAAGAACTCAGCAGAGTGCATTTAGGATAAGGAGGTTTGATTTAAGTCTAAACATTTGTCACAGGTGTCAGAAAATTTAAGTATGTTTTGTACTTTGTTTAGTATTTAGCATATATAATCAGAAACCCAGCAGATTATTCCCTCCACCCATTTCCCAAACACTTTTAATTTTATTTCTGTCACAGTACTTTGGAATGCACTGAACATAATGTATAAAGATTTGCTATGACATTGCCACACCTTAGAGTGGTTTGAAACACAGCAGTAATGACCAACACAATACACAGCACTGCAGAGGCTCCTACTACAGCTGGCTTGGAGATACTTGGGATGACTCCATTGGGAAGGTAAATGTTCAACAGTACTTGGCTGAAAAACAACAGAACAAGCTCCCACAACTGAAACACTGCACTGAAAGGGTAATTTTTGAGAAGTCACAGATGTACCACATCAGCAGAAAAAAAACCATATTTTTTTTAACAGGGATAAATTTGAACTCTTTTCAAATAGTCTGATATGGAGTAGGTAAATATACACAAGAACAAACCAAAACACAATGAATGAAACCAGAAAAAAAGGCACATGATCAAAATGAGAAGTGTAAAAATAATTTAAAAGGTAGTTTGACTGAAGTTTTTGACCATTTGAATTTACACATGTACATTTGACCTCCCTATCTGAAGTCAGTAAAGCCATCTCACTTTCCTGAAATAGTTTTTGTAGTGTGGGACCCCACAGAAACAAAACTGCTTTTAAAAAAGGTTGTAAAATTTGACCTGATGCCAATTAAGTGCCCTAAAACTTCTGGAGAAATGCATCTAATGACAAATATAGAAAGTAAAGAACCTTGCTAATGAACAACTTTACCTTTTAAAATACTAAATTTAAGTAATTCTTAGAAAATTACCTGACACTCCTGACCTTTTCTTTCCCAAATATTTAAGCAAACTTCCTTTCTGATAGTCTCTACAAAGTATAAACTCGGTACTTCCAGTCATGACTTACCAATTGTCTCCACTAGGAAAATTTTATTTTATAACGAAGATTTTAACCATATACAGCTTTTGATATTTTTACAGAAATGTAAACCTTGGAGCTTCATCTCAGCATTGCCTTAGTTCCATCTGTGCATGACTGGTGGTCCTTAAAAACTATTTTCCATTTAGAAGCTGTCAGGTTTTTAAATAGTCATTCTGATGACTCTATTTACTCTTTACCTGAATTTCTACATCAGATGCCACTAAATTCACTTTATGAATATATGATATGAAGACTAGGCTAGCAAAGTGACTCATCAAACCACAAAAAAATCTTAAAACATTTTAATGAATTTTAATGTCAATTTGAAAAAAAGTCTCTTTTAAATAAAGCTTAAAAAAAAATCCCCACCAAAATCAACTATCAATACCACACCACGTCATTCATTATTCTGAATATCTTAAAGAGTATCACTCAAAGGCAGCCTGTTTGGAACTGCTTACATTTATCCTTCACAGTGACAGTGAAACAAAGTGCCCACATAAAAATTGTAACTCTTTCCTGAAGGTTTACAGTTTGTAAACTTCCAGGATATCTACAGGACTTGAGCAGAGAGGATGAACTTTCCCCTTGTCTATCACTCCAAACAGAGATACAGAGAGATGGAGAGAGAATGACAAACATCCTCCAGAATAACCAGAAATGTGCTTCTAAGCAGTGTTCTCTAACATAAGTACCAGCCAGTGCCCACACACCAGTCATATACATTCGAGGCCTGGTTCAATGGTATGAGTTCTGCATTTTCTAGAGCAGGGCCAATCCACAAAAAAGGAGAGTTAAAAAACCTCAAAAGATTATATATACCAAGGCAATGAAGTGTGATCCTTCTGGGGAAAAAAAAAATGGACTGTCAGTACCCCTTTGCACAAACGGCATTGCTAGAAAAGCATTTCACATTGAAACTTCAGTGTTCCTAGCAAAATATTGTCTCTATCCCTGAGACAGCACCTTGAGAGTACGGTCTGTCTGAACTATAGGATTCCTCAAATGACTCCACCACTGAATTCTGGGAGATTGAGAAAGTAGCTGAAAGGGGTGGGGGTGTCCCAACAGCCACGGTACAAAAGACAGCAGCCTGAGAAATACTCTTTACCCGAATACACCTTTCAATTCGGTGATCAGCACCTCACAACAAAAACAGCAACAACAAAAATGAAGCAGAGCTAGCCATTATTTCCTGGGGAAGTAGTGTCTCCTTCCCACATACAAACCAAATTGCCTTAACAGCACGGTGGCATCTAACTTTTAGTCTAAATGCAGAATGACCCTGTGTCCTGGAGGGGAAGACATGTAACATTACAAATGGCTACAACGCCATTAGCAGTGCATTGTAACCTACATTATCAACCTAGAATCCTGTCTCCGAGGGAATACAGCTTCTTAATATGCATGTCTCAGTTGCTGAACATCAAAAGTTTCTGGGATGAGAGACTGGGGGCAGTCAAGAGAAAACTACCCTCATTTAATGAAAAAAGTGCTGTAGGCAGCCAGGAGCAGCAATGACAATCCCCTCCCCAGAATTGATTGCACAGACTCAGAGAGGTCCAAAGTCACACTAGAATCTCTGAGGCACTCCTGGTTCTGAGAAAGACAAGTCAGGATCCAGTAGTCTTTGCAGTACTGTAGACCGAGAAAACAAACCCGTTTCTATTTCTTAACAAAGCCAAAGCATCATCTCATAGGGATCACATTCACCATTTCCGCCGGTGTCTCCAGTCTCACAGTGTTGAAATGGGACTGATCAGCCTACGATGGATTGCACATCACCCAAAGAGAAAGGAAGGCATGGAAAAAGGCATACAGTACATGATATACTGCTTCACAACCATGTTTACAAGGGGGAAGGAGGATGAAAGTGAGGGAAGAATTATTGCTGTTTCAGTAATACAGTATGATAGCTAAACCAAATGAAACGAGATCACAACAGTCAGTATTTTCACACTGTGGGATGATGGTTCATGTTCTGCCTACAGATGAACTTGCCAGGGATTAAGAGGGAAGAGGGAATACTAAGGAAGGGAGTCAAAGTTACACCTGGGATATCAGCTGCATATTGAAACTTGGAGATCGAGACTGCTTGGTTAGGGGAGCTCCTGGGGAAAGGAGATCTTTACCTTCCCCAGCTTGGCCTAGCCGGTCCTCCTGTAGGCTGATAGTTGAAAACCGATTGGTGTTGCCAGCTGCTAGACTGGTAAAACCCTCTGTGCCAGCTCCAACACTGGAGCCTGCCTGACTGCCATTCACATAGTCAAATGATTTACTGGAGGAAGCACTGGCGGTCCTGATCAGGCCCAAACTGTTGGCTTTTGGCACTACCTGCCCAGCAGGCAGGCTGAGGTGTTTCTTAGTAGGTGTCATCTCAATTATATCTCCATCCAGGTCACAGGATTGGTGCGTGTACTGCTTTCGAGCTACTGAATCCCGAGGGCTCTCATTGGATTTTGCTGCAGAAGAGGTTTCTTTCTCCTTAGCAGAACGCCCACTTGCTGTTTTCCTTAAGCTGCTCTTCTGGGATACAGAGGATACAGGTTTGGTCCCAGCTGGCTGGCTGCTGAGGGAAGCTCCCGATGAAAAGCCTTCATCAGCATCATTAAGGTTTACAGACTCCTCTCTTCCATTTACACCTTCAGTATCTATTAAGAAAAAAAAGAAGCAACCAAAAAATCCCCAAACCAATCAGAAAACAGAGAATGCATTCAAGTTACATGAAGACAAAGATGTGCACAGAACATCAAAACAAACCTCATTTGCTAATCCACTTGGATTCCACTTGCTTAATTATTTTTGGATTCTCAGCCAATTTTCCTGCCATATTTAACAGGGTCTAACAGTAAGTGCTCCCTGAGCTTGATTAGCCTTTCATCTGTAATAATTTTATCAGTCAGAATATTGGTCCCAAACTTGGTCTATAAACAAGAATTGGGCCCCATTTGGCTAATTTGTTTTATCTTGGTCTGCAGATACTACTACTACCCATTCTCCTACTACATGCTGTTAAAAAAAAAACCAAACTAAAACAAATCCAGCACCCTTTCAGTCTATTTTTATCCTATTTTGAGGCAAGATCTAAGGATCTCTTTTCAGTCAGAGTAAGTTCTGGTGAGTGCTCAGTAAGCTTCAGAATTAGGCCACTTCCTACGCCAACAATCACAATGTTCCAACAGAGGTAGAAGGCTTCTCTTGTGTGTAGCTCGTACTGTGAACAACGTGACCATACTTTCTATTGGAGATTAACCTGATTCCTAGTTCTCTCTTCTCCAAAATTCAATCCTCCTTGAATTTACAGCAATCCCATCCAGGTATTTCTACCATATTTACTTTTATCTCAACATCTACATTTTTCAGAGAAAAAAAAAAGGAAACCCTTGCATTAAGAGAAATTAAATCTCTGAAACATTTTATGTTATAGAACTGTGCTTTTGACTGGAATCTAAAAGGAAAATAAAAGCATTACAATATTATTTCTTAAATCCTTATTTTTAGGCTTATAATATGATTAGGGCTGCACATAAATACTTTTTATCTTTTAATCTTATTCCAGCTTTTTTCTAAGCTCCAAGTTCTCAGAAATTATTGTTTTAGTAGAAAACTGCAGCATTCAAATTTCAAAACTAAAAATGGAGCAACAGTTTTTGCTCCATGTATCTCATTTCAATAAGAAAAAGGCGTAAATTTTAACCATGTTAGCAAAAAAGGAGTCACTCAGACTATAAGAATTTTGCCTTTCTTTGTAAAAGCTGTAGAGTGTGATTATTTGGAGAAATACAGATCCAACCCAGCTAAAGCCACTGTGGTGCTCTTCTGTTACGATTGTTGAACCCAGCTTGCTGCCAAGCAAAGACATTTAAATATTCTTTGCAAAATGGGAAAAACACGGTGGCAAGTATCTGAGAGAGTCTAACACTTAAGTGGAAGCTCATCCTCTCATGCTGAGTGGTAGCTAAGGAACATTTTACATCGTGGCAAACAGAACAGACAGAAAGCTTTTGATGTTGCCGCCTCTGTGTAGCAGGAATACAACCTGATCCCATTTCACATTTCTCAGGGGTAATGCAAACCCAAAACTTTACAGGGAGGTTTCATTACTCTGCTCTACATTTACTACTTCTTTTCAGGAAACTTTGCCCTGGAATTACCATTGCTATGTATCAGCTTACAAAAGATATTCAGACATCTCCAAATCAAACCACTCTCAGCCTCTCTCAAAACAATGCAATGAGAGATGATTCTGCAGTTTTCAACAGTTCTGTTTGACTCAATGGCCTCCCAGAAGCAGAAAAATAACATAGTTCATGTTGCTGCAGTCTTTCTTCCTTGGTTAAGCCTTTTGCCTTAGAAAAAGAAAGTCTTTAGGTTCCCACAGCAATTATTAAAATGAAGGGTGCGTTACTTGCTTGAACTTCCCCTAACCATATTTAAAATGCACGTCCCTTCCCCACTTCCTGACCACCTTATTTGGTAAAACTAGGCCTTTCTCTTCTCCTTGACTCACACCTGTCTTTTCTTACACTAGACAGTGATATATTTTATCCACAATCCACACTGACATTCCCCCCTCCAACCTTCCCACACACAATCAAAGTTACTGATAAAAGTCAGACATTACTGGAACATACCAAAAGCAAGACCACCTTTTCAATTAACCAACATTTATGTTTCTTTATATAACCATGCAAAGCTGGATGAAAGCATATTCAGTTACAAGCAGCAAGAGAAGCAGCTGAAGCCCCCTCTCAAGCCCTTCTTATTTAACATAAAGATGTGGAACTTATAAGAAGTTCTCTCCAGACAACACTGCTAAGATTTTTATTATTACAAGAACATCATCAGTTTTCAAAGTTTATGTTAAAGCGTTGCTGAGTAACAGGATGCTGAAGCACATGTCCTATTCAGGGACTGTGAAGCAGTCACACTGAAAAAGTGGCATTCTGTGCATAGGACTTAAAGATAAGACTGAGAGGGGTTGTTGCAAGCTTTTGGATGCTGCAGCTATACAGAGGCCCAAGCTGCTCAGCAGTGCTCCAAAATGAAGAAGATAGAGAAGATAACATGCAAGAGAGTTTCTGTCTAGTCAGATCCACATACCTACAGAAGTTCCCAATGGGATTAAAGTAATTCAGCAAACACATTCTTTTCCTAATACATCTTATTTTTCCTCTAAAAACTGCCCTCAGAAATAATAAAAAAATATTTGAGTCCTTACATACTCTGGGAAGGAAAACAGAATGATGTAACAATGAAGTTCTCTCTCTTTTTTTTTGTTTGTTTGTTTGTTTTTGGTTTTGTTTATGTTCCAATAGACCAATAAGACAATTTCAAAAGAAAATAAACCCTAAAAATCCACTCCCTTCCAAATGCTCTTTATTTTAAGGCCAAAAGAGAAAGTGACAGTGCAACCCAACAGAAATCATATCCATTGCACTACAGTGTGTATTCAAGACTCCCACTGTTCCTTATCAGAATAAATCTGTCCTCAAATAATTTGCTATTTGTACATATACACGACTAGTACTTTAGATACAGACTCAGTGTTCTCCACTGACCCAAAATAATGCACAAAACCGCAGCTGCAATCACCCAGAAGCAGAATAGCTTGCACTGCATTACTGAGTCATCCCTGAAGTCTTGTCTTTTTCTACTTAAGGGGGTCAAAACACTGATCTGAAGAAGGGGTTTTATACACCTTTTTAAAATTACTTTTAGCATGTTTATCCTTCCTATACCTGAAGACTGAAAAGTCACTAGAAGCGATCAGTCTCTCTTTGTGCTGTTTGACATCAATCTGGTATTTCTAAGAAAGAATTTTCTGGTTGAAGCTTTCTGTGAAATCAGCATCAGAAAACAAACAGAGCCCTGGATATATATCCACAATTTTATGATGATAATCAAGGCAAACTCCTTTCCTTGGCATTTTCCCAGATGCTATCAGCTGGAAAACTCAGTTTGATCAAAAATGTAATTATATATTGCTAATGTTACAGAAGTAAGTGGTATTCAATCCATTTGTACTGAGGCAGAGAATGTGGAATGATGCCTTATCAAATAATATGCCAAATTATATCAACGGCTTCAAACAAGACAAAAATGCATCATCTTTATCAACTTCTCTTCCCACTTCCTGTCTGTCCCAGAAAGTTCTCTGCAGCTCAGGACTTCTCTATATCCTTCAAGTCATGCACATGCAAAGAGTTATAAAACAGAGTAAGATCAAGTGGAAAGTGAGTTTAAGAGAAGACAGGATCATTTACTGAGCATGCTCAAATTCATAATGCACCAAGTAGATTAAAAACCTGCACTAAATATTTTTATGCCACTCTCTTCTACTCTTCATTGCTGGATAGCAACTTTGTTTAAGTTTAATGCTTCTGTGATTCTACAATTAAGTCTCCAAATTCTCTAGATTGTTTCCTGAAAAACAAATCTGAAGAAGAAATGTAGCCCATATCTGAATGTGCGAATAAATCTTATTCATGATCAACTAATGTCCTTATAGAGGCTGGAAACACCAAAGTTCACATACAGAAGAAGGCTTAAGATACAAGAGTACTTGAAAATATGTTCAGCTAAATCTGTAAGAAATTAATTCTCATCTCTGAGGACAAATCATGATTCAAGTTCAGTACTTGAAACTATGTCCTTCATCAAGGAAATCCTCAAAAGCAGATGAACTTAAATAAAATTCTACCACCTACTCTATCTGCTATTCTTGGCTGCCAAGCAGACCTCTGAAGCCCTACAGCATTTGTGTGGACAGCACAACTGAGAAAGAAAGAGTAATTGTTTCTAAAGTTTTTATCATTTCTTCCTGAAAACACAAGCACTTTTCTGGTGCTTGTAGAGTAGCCAGTTCTAAATGAGTTGTACATATATGACATTTCAATGAAAAGATGACTGACAAATAAAACATCAGTAATTGTATACCTGTTTTAGACAGGCTTGACTTTCAATGGCAACAGGAGACTTCATTCTTGAAAATTTAAAAACTGCAGACTAACAAGACACTATTTTAACTAAAATGGAGCCAAATCCATTTATATTCTGTACTATCTACTTTTCAGTGCTATATTCATGTTCATCTGGTGCATATTTTTTCTTCTTAATATCAGATTAAACATGCTCAGTAATAGTTAGTTTCCAAGCAATCCCAAAGCTCTTGGATATTACCCTGTCTTTTTTTTTTGTGCCATGCCAAGCAGTGTTTCACCACACAGATGCAAGCCCCAGGCCAGCCCACATGATAACAAAAGGTAGTTCCTGACCTGATGTTAGGTATATAGGGGATGTGTGTATTGCAAAGAAAGCTAATACACCCTGGGATAGCGGAAACACACACTAGAATGGAAAGAAGTTCTGCTTGGGGATAGGGAGCCAGGATCCTCCTCCAGCAACTGCCTCACTGACTTCTGCCTCCTCATCTCTGTCCTACCCTCTGGTGTGGCTGCTGCCAAGGTGGGCTCCGGGAAGCCATGCTCAGGGGTCCTGCGCAGCAGCACCTCCCCCTCTTGCTCACGTTTGATCCCTAGGTCTGTGCAGCCGTGTTGGATCGGTGAGCCAGGAATGCTTGAGTCAGCCTCGATTGAGAAGTCAAAGCCATCTGGGATTCAACATATAACATTTTAGTGCTTTTCTATTCCTTTCTTGGCATTCCAACCCAGGCAGGGAAAATAGAAAGTTTATGCTGACATGGAACAAACACAAAACACTGCCCATGCGGAGTTAGAAGTGGTGAGAACATCCACAGAAAGGGACAGGTGGGCTGCACTGCAGACCAGAGACCAGCAAATGAGTAGAATGGCTGAATAGAAGTGAAGACAAACACGACGCAGAGTCCTGAAAACGGGAGACAGCTACTTCTTGTCCTGGACATCCTGATTCAGCTGAAGAGGTCATCAAATCCTCTTGCACGTGACCAAGAAGAATAATAAAAAATAAAAGGGAAAAGAAATGTACCACAGGAAAATGTGCAATTCCTGTTTTTAGACTTTTTACTCTCAGTTGATTCTTAGGTTATTCTCCTTTTTACCTTCATTGATTTATGCAGCTTTTTTAAACTAATATTTTATACATGAAGTAACAAAGCTTTAAAAGCAGACAAAGTGATTTCAAAGCAAGTTTTTTGCTACACCTACACTGAAGATGTCATCACATCAAGGTAAAGATCACTACTTTTTTTTTCTTCATACAGTCAAGCACACTTCCATATGATGTAAGTACACACTGAGGAAAGACTAATTCTAAACTATCCAAACCTATTTTAGAGCTCCCCAAGAAACTGGGTTATATGATGGCAGGCATGATGTTCAGTTTGTTGCTCTCCCACTGCCATCAGTAGCTTTAGGCAGCTGGAATCCTATTAAGGTCTGGATGTTAGCAATCATTCCCTGAGCTATTTACAACGGGAAGCAGTTGAGTTTTAGCGCAGATTAAACAAAGAACTCAAATTCCAAGCCACACTTTATCCCTACAATTTCACACAGTGCTATATGGAGAAAAAAGAAGTCTTAATAAACATTTTCCAGTTTCTCCATTTCCTCATCTACCTCACAGTTTATCACAAAATCAAAACCAAAACAAACACCCAAAATACTTATGTTCATGCAGTGCTCTGAAGATGTAAAGTATTATATACTATCATGGAGTATCACTTTTAAAAACAAACAAACAAAAGCCCCCCCCAATGTTCTGTAAACATTCAAACTCAGAAGCCAGATTACAGTGATGATGATGATAACAGTAGGTTGCAATATGTGCTCCTGGCAGAGAAAGCTCACCTTCTCTCCTCCAGCGATGACGACGGATAGAAGCTGTTGTAATAGCACTCCGAGAAATTCTTGGAACTGTTGGAGTAACTTCTACCTTCAGTACCTTCTGGCCTTCTTGTGATGCATCAGGAGCATCAAAAGGCAGCGAATTCTTCATGGCATTTGCAACCTAAGACAAAAGTAAGATGCTGTACTACTACTGTCCTTGATTGCACTAATGGCAATATTGGATCTCCTGCCGGATACAGAAAGGAGAACAAGTGAGAATTGGTAATTATGTCAGATTCCCTTCAATGACCCCATGCCCAGGATTCAAGGTTGATTACATGGAAAAGCTCATCATAAACCTATTTGCAAAACCAGAGTTAATTTTCTCCATTTTTTTGAGGTAATTAATTTTGTTCTATCTTTGCCATCTGTAGTGACAGACGTTAACAACACATACAGGAAGGTCTCCCTCCAGAAGAGACTGCAATATGACAAGGCAAATACCATTTATGTTTTATGACAAAGGTGTCAATAAAACCAAGTCACAGCCCAAGCCAATGCAAACAGCCAGTGGCCTTGTGCACAGGGGGACAGGGCTGATTTCCACCACACCTTTCCCCATAACACTCCCCATTCCTCCCTAAAAACCAGCCAAACAGAACCTAACCAAGAGGATTAGACTGCAGGTACTTGCAAGATTTATTTAAAGGAAAAAAATTGCAACCTAAGCAATGAACATAAAGTTATTAAAATAGGTTTAATAAAGATGAGTGTAATAGCCTATTACAAAGTCAGAAGTTAGGTTTTGCAGCTTTGAGGAGAACAAGTTACTTCTTTTGACTTTGATGCTTTAATTGCTTCTTTGAGTTTCCCATAAAATGCTTTTGAGATTAGAGGTTTACTTTAAAAAAGACAAAAACAACTTTCCACAATGTCTCTTACTTTACAAGTAAATTGTTTAAAAAAAGTGAACTTGTGTACCAGCTCCAGAAAAGCAAACTGGTTCTCTATGGCATGTACGATATTCAACAGTAACAAAGCTAATGCACACAAAGTGTTACTTCAAGCTTCAAAATCCCCCCTAAACCACAACCCATAAAATGAACACACCTTGATTTTCCAAAATCTTCTACTCACTGAAAGCTGCTACCTTTTTTGAATAGATACCCCTGTCAGTGTACCAAAAAAAAATCTAAAAATTCATGGCAAAAGACTTTTGCACCATGACAGGAATCGTGACAGAGCATTTCTGCTTGTTGAACCTTTTAACAGCTGGCCCTTTCTAGCAGCACAAACTGTACTTCTGGGGACTGAGAAAACCATATGGAGATAAAAATCAATGCACCAGTAAATCTTTGAAACAATCTAAACAACCAGTCTGAATGAGTCACAGTCCTTGTCTGACAAAAACACCCTCAAAACCACGATCTTTCAGGATGCAAAAACACTTGCTCACGATGTCTAATCCAGCCCTGAAAGGCAGGAAAACAAACACACAGCACAATTCAGACTTGGCAAGCCAAGTCTGCAGCTATCAATGACAAAGGAAGGTTGGTTTCAGGCCAGATATCCACTCTTGCCTACCAGAAAGGAGCTCTAAGGAAAGAACATTCAATAAGAGCAGTAAGTGCATCAATAAAATACATTGTCACAATAGGGACTTGCTGATCCATGGTTCCTGTGCCCTGGACTTGGAAAACCTGTGTGTCTGTGCTCTGAAGACTGGGATTTCTGTCTGAAAAGCATGCAGAATGCTTTGTTCAGAGGAAAAGACTGACTGGAACCAGTCTGCTCCCCAGGTCCAAGGTGCTGCTAATTGTGACACTTGCTGATTAGTTTGGCTCTGTAGAAACTCTCAGGTTTCTTGACCGGTACCCAGTGTTCGTTAACAGAAATACTTTTCTTAAGCCAGGAAAGGCTTTTCACTTGTGTTAATTCCTACCCTTTCCACTGCAGTCTCTGTGTAAGAATGATTGATAGAAGACCACTTCTACATTACAGATATTTCACAGCTTTCTGATGCTGTTTTTCCACTTGGTTTTTTTTAAAAGCTTAGGGTTTTTTTTACAGGCAGTAAAACCCTAAGTAAATAAGAGCATGGATCCACTAAATGGTCAAAAATGTTTCTCAAAGAAACAAACACAGGGATCATGATGTTCCTCATTTTAATGATGACTGATGGTATTCCCATAATTACACAAATAAGTACCTGAAAACAGGTATCTAAAAATAATCCTAATGTGGGGGTTTGCCTTAATATTAAATAGACTTCAAAGAATTTGCTGCTCTTAGGAAATCCTAGGCAGAAGCTGAACTTAGCAACTTTCCTGTGAAGCTTCCCAGATGATAGTTATTTGGCACTAGTAGTTTTAGGTTTAAAATACAGAATTTTATACTGCTGCTAAATTATACACATCTCCTGAAGAATACAAGGAGAGCAAAGGGCTCCAATCTTTGAAAATGCCAAATTGCTTGAATATACAGCATTAGGGAAAAGACATGCAGGTGATTCTTTTAATAAAATGGACAATTTCTTCAACATACTTTAAAAAAACTGTTAGTAAAACAAGACAGGAAGCAAACAATGATTAGAGTATTAGAAAAAACCCGCCTCCCTGAACAGGCCTACATGCATATGCAGGAAAAACCTGACAACCAGGAAGCGGTAAAAATTGATGATATCATGATGTCACCGAACAATGGGATAGAGAATCAATAAGAGCTTTAGAAAAAAAATAAATACATTCTAGAAGATTCTTACAACTAGAAGTAATCTCTAAGGACAAACTGATTAAAAATGAACAATGAAAACTAAAAATTGTCATATCATCAACTTCCAGATGCTCCTACACGCTTTTCAAGTGCAGTAGTCTGACAGGATGGCCCAATTCAGCAGGTTCAATATTTAATTTAAAACTTTCAATCTGATGGAGTGATGAGTCAGTTCCAAAAGAAACCAACTATTATAATAATTCAATGGATAGCAGGTATTTTAAATGCAGCAGTGTCAGAAAGCCTGTAGATAAATTGTACAGCCAATATTAATACCTTTGGAGAATAATTTTATGCAATTTAGTTCAGAAAAGAGTGACCTCAGATTGCCACATAAAAAGATTTTGCAAATCCGCTCCTTTGTCAGTTTTGTAAAAAGCAGTGACATTTTACTGCTGTTAGTTCAGAGGAGGGCTAAAGGCTTCTAGCCACCATTCTAATGCAGAAACTGAGACAGCAATCTAATGTACTTTATTCTCCTTAATTTTCCCTCTTCTTTTGATTCTCATTCCAACATCTGACAAAAATTTCTCCTTTCTCTCTTTCAACCTTCTCATCCTTCCCAATCACATCCATCTGCATCCAGCCCAGTTTCACCACTTTCCCCATGTCTCTTTTTTCATTATTGGAACAGCAAATATGATGAAAACTGAAGAAAGCCCACCCCAATCAGAACTACTCCATTTTACTGCTGGTCCTCCAAACATGGTAAAGATTAAGATTTGCATGACTTTTATCAAACAAAATCTGACATTGACTCTGAGACTGAAGCTCCTTTCCACTTTCAGCTGCATCCTGCTGTTGCTGTCTCTACTTTGTTATCAGTTAAAACCCACAGCTTATTCTCAAGCCTGATGAAGGTCTAGAAGCAAAGAAAACACCTTTTTTGCAACCAATGCCCTGTAACATACAACTATTCAGTTAAGCTTCTTTGAACCACTCATCAGTAGCTTATGTTAAAACAACATAAACATTTTGAGCCAACTATAATACATTAGCAAAATCCTAGCTTTCAGTCTCAATGAGTCCTAGAAGATCCCAACACCCTGGCTTAATACTCAGCAGAAAAAGTATGGTATAAATAGCCATGTTGCAAACACCAGCTGTTAACAAATCACTTGCATTTGATTGTGCAGTGAATGGGCACAAAAGCTTTCATTACCAGCCCACTTCAGCAACACATCCATACTCCTTTTAACCAGGCCCATAAATCACAGTGGATTGTTTCTTACCAGCAGGGGCTGTGAGTAGAGTTCAAGCTGTGCTCTGTAAATTATGTCCTCCAATACCTCCTGGCCAAGCTCCCACTGACCATTATATCTAAAAAGTAAAGGCAGACATTTATCTTCTGCATCTTATGAAAACAAACTTGTTCTTTTTTCTGTCCAATTCAGCTTTGCACTTCTCAGCTTATGCAGAAAATTCATCAACTGTATGTGCACCACAGTGTACATTCACTTCTTTCAGCACTACAGCGTATTTTGTTAACTTCTTGGTGTAACAAGAAAGCTCCCCCATGTTCCCTCCAAACAAGACAAAACTGAAGCCACAATCAAGACAAACTTTAAAAAAATGGGGTCAATATGCAAACGCTAATGCTACTTAGCAGAACTGAATTTGCTCTAGAAATGTATTTTTGCTACCTCAGATGCTACTGTCATTAAAGAGGTCTGCATTTCATCAGTTTATCTTGGCATCCAAGCTCATTATGCTTGTGAATAGAAGGTATCTGTGGTACTGGCAAGATGGAAAAAACTGAAACCAGAAGCCTAACTCTCTTCAGCACCTACTGCTGGCCTTTCATCACCTAATTCAGTGCTGACAAAAGTATTTTCTAATCTGTTGGCTGAATAAGCAAGTAATGGGAAATATACTAATTGATTACAAACTTGTGCTATGAATCTAAATTTTGTTTCAATTATAAACCAATTGGCACTTTTAATTCATGTAAAAGCAGACCTTTCTCCTCAAGTAAGAAAACCATGTCCACTTACATGGCATAATAGACACCTGTGAGCAGCTGCACCATGAAGTCAGGGTCTAACACCACTCTACCACAGTGCTCTTTCCAGCGTTTCTCATGCTGCCGTGGAAATCCACTCACACACAGCCTAAAAGCAACACCATTACAGGAAAGTATTAACTCCACAAAGAATACAAATGTCTTTGTATCACAGAGATTTTAGTTATTTTAAAATATAAATACATAACACAGACCATTCTTATGCTGCAGTTTTGTAGCAGTGCCTTGATATGCGTCTCACTGAAAGCCCAGTGTTACCCCCATGTAGCCAATAATTCCTCCACCTGTTTTCCTCAAATCATAACCAGCTTCTAAAGAACAAGATGTTCTCCACTACCAGCCTGGAGACTCTCCCTAAAATTCAGTAACTGAAACCAATTTCTCTATGGGAAACATTTCAGTGGTACAGAAGAGAAGTATGTCACCTCCCATCTAATGAATAATGACAGCATGCAAGTCACCTTGTAACTAAAGTCAGATAACACACATATTATAGTCTTGATAACTGCTCTCAGCTGCCTTGTAAGAAATATTTCTGACTCTTGAAAAAAGGGTCTGTCCTCCCATATACTGCCTACATTAAAACCAGGATAATTTATTATATCCTCATTTCATCAGTTTCCTATCTGAATCTTCATCATAGAAGCAACACATGGCCACTGATACATAGCAACTGTGGCACTGTCTCCAAAATAACAGAAGTCTCCTGCATATAAAATGTTGTCTTGCTTCTCTACTCAAAGAACAGATCTAATTTTCAGATGCAGGAAAATGAAACATATTTGGCAAATTTAGCATAGCCACAACTCAAGTGAAAATGATGGAAGCATACCAAGAACCAATCTATCCCCATCAGAAAGTACTTTTTTCTACTGGATGAATATTTTAAAATCTACATGACCCTGAAGACTACTTCAAAGGCAAGTGTCTCACCTGGAACCCATCGTACAAAGTGACTGGTAAGAAGAAGCAGGCATGTAGACAATAGCTGAATTGTAACACAGCATTAGAAAGCTCAGCACCTCGAACCTGAAAAGAGAAAAGCAAAATCTTACATTGTTTATATTCTTAATATTTCACTGAAATTAAACACAAGAAATCAACAATTCAGGCTCAAAAAGGACCCTACAGGAAGGGGTGTCAGAAGTAAACACACAAATCCTTTAATCCTCTTTCATTATAATTCACTAACTTGAAACAGGCTATCAAAGGTTCACTATAAACACTTAAATTTATTCTTCTGAAAATCCTGAAAGCCCTTAGCATATGCAGGAACTATGAAGGAAATGAGATACAGCATAACATTTGGACAGTTCTAGAAGTGGAAACGTCTGCAATGCATTCAAAATTATTTTATCAGTTTTCCCAGTGCTGTCTTTAGACACAGGTGAAGCTAACAGTCATTAAACAGTGGGGCAATTTCTCTCCCTCCTGTTCTGTGTATCCACTTAGCTCCATTCCCTTTCTCCAGTAGAAAAAAGAGTCACAGCCCCCGATCAAAAGCTGAATTTTGCTACACTTCTAGGAAAAATTGAATAGACAGCCATAAAACAAAAGATATTCCTTGCAGACACAGAAATGACAGAGAAGTTATTCTTCAAAATCAACTAGTAGAAGAACATACAAGAATGGAACAAAGAAAAAGAGAATTATACTCAAGACTACTAAGGCTGTTCTCTAGATTTACTGCCGAGCATTTAATGCTGAGAAAGGACTGATCACAAAATAGTTTTGTTTTGTTTCAGGACTTGTCTCCCTAGTGAAGCACCTTTAATATTAAGAGTACATCCACCTACCTGTTCTGTGCTGTGAAGGTTTCTCTTTGAGGATGAAGATCACTGTAAACCACTCTGATAAGATCATGCTGACTCAGTGCTCCTTCAGTTAAAGCCATGGATCCAATGGTAGAGGGCTACAAGTAGGTGGTGAGAGAAGGAAGGAAGGAAGGGGGAGAAGTCATAAGTAAAAATTCCCCAAAAGCATTAAAGCTCCCAACTACCTAAGGCAAAAGACACACCTGTGATCTGTAAAAATGGAGATTACTCCAGAATACAGTGGAGCTAAAAACATTACCTAGTTTCATTGTTATAAAGTGTACACACTTAGAAGTAATACAGCAGGTGAGAGCAATTTTCAACTTTTATTCTTACATATTCATGTACAGTTTGTCCTAATCACACAGACCTTTTGTCAAGAAACATTAGTGAAAGAAACACACAACTGCAAGTTCTAACTGAACTAAGGAAGAGTTAGAAGGAAGATTGCTTTTATGCTAACATGTAAGAGGTGAAAAAAAGCAGTTGCAACTACAACATAACTAACTCTATTAAAAACAGGCAGTCAACAAAGATTTTTGAACATTTATATACCTGTTCTTCTACAAATTCTATAGCATTCTATTACACTAGCTGCAAGCTACAGACATTGAAAACTTACTGCAAGAAGATTCATCTAAAATGGCCTGTGGATCCAGTTTCCATTCCTCTAATAGATCAAATTCAAATTTACAATAGTAGCTCTCTTACCTCATGATATATTGAGGGTTTAGATAATGAAGGGATGGTGAAAGACAAAACTTTGTTATTTCCATCTTTGTCAGCAATTTCCTGCATTAAAAACAAAACCAGAACTCAAACAGGAGTAAGGAGACAGCAGTGGAATAATTTTCAGCTCTTAGAAGGAAGTTAACAAATAAGTTAGATGTCCTGATCTGATAAGACTATTAACACCCCAAGGACTTTGTGCATTTGCAGAATATCAACAGTATCAACATACATATTTAACAAGTGGGGAAAGACCTCTATTACAAACTGCTCTGCAGAATTAGTGTGCAATACTTTAAAAAACCCCAGCACTGGCTCTTTAATCAGTGAGACTAAAGACACTGACACAGAAGGGCTGATGAGTCACTTGCTGACAATGGGTAGTATTTCATAATAAATGCACCACAGAGAAAAGGTGAAATCAAGGGGACTGGCAAAGTTTCCTCAGGAGGAAACACACACAGTATTTTCTTCAAAGGCTTTCAAACTGGTTAGATTTTGTAGTTGCTAGGCTACTACATAAGCAAACCCTGCAGTTTTAAAAGAAAATATACTGGGAGCAATTACGTAAGACAACACCAAAAAGGAGTCTAAAATCCTGCCTTTGCACTTTGTACAGCAAATTTTCAAACAATAAGCTCCAGTCATTCCAGTTTATGTAAAAGTTTAGCCCAGGGCAGCTCAGTACTTGTAGCAGGCTTCAAGGATTATAACAGGAGAATGGCTGACAGAATTTGTCAGAACACAGAAGATTTATTTACCCCTTTCTCCTTCTAAGTATTCAGAAAATAACTTCACTCTCAGTCTATGTGCAGAAAAATATCAGCTTCATTAAAGAAAAAAAATAGTGGAAGCCACTGTTCATTTTGAAGTCTCTTTCTTTCTGAATATGGAGAGAATGAAGAAATTACTGTCCTTAAAAAATATGAATCACCAACATGACTTTCAAATGAACTGCAGAACATTCTAGGAGGAGGAAAGATAAATGTACTATTTCAATCCAATAGACAGCACAAAAAATCCAATTCCAAGCAGTTTCCAGTGTTTTTTTCTATAAAAATAAATCTAAAATAACTAGATCATCCAATTGTTAGAGCTGATCTACAGATACATAACTAGAATACATTTTAAGAATCACAGTTTGGCTATTCTGTATCTTATGTGTAGAAATACAATGCACAATTGAAAGGAGGGGTTTACAATGACATTAGAGGGAAGGGTGATATTCAGTAGAGTATGTTTCAAGGTCCTATACCACAGAAATTCCCACTGGAGACTGTTTGATAAATGCAGCAGTACTGCCACAAGAGACAGTCTCATAACATTAAAAAAGAAAACATTTTCAGGCCAGGGTAAGAATGTAAAAAACTGCTTTTACATCCAATAGCCAAATTGAGTAATTTACAGTTGCTTATTCTTAAAACCAAAGTTCCCCTCAAGACAACTATCTGACTCAAATGGACACATGGATGCATCTGAGTGCTCACATGCAGAATGGCTTCACCATCAAACTACCCCCTTAAAATAGACATGTTCAGAGTACATGGGAGGGCAGGGGAAGTGACACATCAAGACTGACTAAGTAAATGTGCCTGACAATCATAAGAAGTCTTATTTTGCAACATTAAGAAGGCCTACCTAATTTCCTTACAAACAGAAGTACATAAAAGTTTGAGAAAGTCCATGAGATGATTCTTTTCAGTGCAAGTATTTTATCCAAAAAGATAATTTAAAAAAAATATCTTTGCAAACACATCTTTACTAAACCTTCATTACATTACGCTTTTCCCTGTATTAAATACACTTTCCTTTAAGTGTATTTTAATTTTAAATATGTTGTTCTAATAATTTACTTTATTCCTAGCAGTCAGCAATGCAAAACTTCAGATCAAAGCTCTCCTCAGGCACTGCCACTCATCTCACTCACCAGGTTGTAAATGCCAAGCAGCAATGCCTCAATGCAGCCATTGCTCTGCCTGTCCCTGCTGGCAGTGAGACGCAGATAAACCCAGATCAGCTCTGGCAGGAACTGCAGCGTGAACCTCTTGAGCCGGACTTCAGAACTCCGATAAAGTTCAAAGAGCTGGTGACAAACAGGCTCCAGGAGCTGTGGAAAGGCAAAAAAGCTAATCACTTACTGGTAGGCTTCTCTAAGAAGGGAGAGTGAACAAATCAAGGGGCTATATCATATAGCCACTGCAGTCAGTACAAATTGCATTTCCTGCTGGCAACCGAGTGAGTGAATCACACTGGTATCTGCATTCTGTTCCAGGAGATCCATAGGGACAGACATGTGGGACACTAGTATGCAGTGTTTGGACATGTGGCCACTACAGCCACTATCATGTGTGCTTTGATAAGATTCTTCTCTAGGGCTCTCAGTGCAAGATTTATTCTCTGTACAGGTACTAATTTAAGGCGTGTGACAGACGCATGGTTTGAACTCTGGGCACTGTAAAACTTTAGTGCAGTTGTAAGATCTATGGAAGCACAAAGGTCAAAGATCAGCTGCTAATGACACGTCTATTGACAGAAATATGAATTCATTTCTGACCTACACCTTTTGAGTCTCAAAACCAAGAACTGAGTGTGTTCATTACAATGCAAACTGATCTTTTCATTTTGAGTTGCAGTTCAGGTTTCACTACAAGAATGAAAATAAAAGTCCCTATCCAGTCAGTGTGATAAAAGCATGAGGTAAACATGCCATTTTAAGAGCCTATAATGCTAAACCAATAACTAAGACTCATCCACGAAACTTTTAGGCAAAAGGAAAAAAAGCAGGAAGAACCATACTGAACAGTCTCATTCTTTCCCATGACTAATCAAGTTTTTATTACCAAAATCAAAACTTGAGGGGAAAATAACCTAAAAATTTCTTAAATTTCCATTACAAACTTTTGTAATGTTTGTGACCACTATCTAATATTGTGTTGTACTAAATGTGATGATCTGACATAAGGAAAGTATTTATGGGATTCCCTGCCCCAAAAGACAGGGGCATACATGTAACCTAAGGCATCCATATTCGTATAGAAGAGCTAGAGACAGAAAACAGAGGCCAGAATCTCAAGTCCTCTTTCTAACAGCACATGCTTCATGCAGCTCTCTTAGACATACAGATTAGATAAGGCATATGTGACCCTCCTTTCACTCCCAGGCATATGCACCTGGGACTTTCAGAGCATTAGCAGCGTATTTCATGGACTTTGATGCATTCTTTTTTCATTAATTTGTCTATTCATCATAATCATAGTACAAACTTCCTGTAGAACTGAGAGTTGCTTTTGCTATGCTGCACAAAGATATATTTCTGTGGTTTACTGTGAACCATCCATCCTCTTAAAAAACTTAGGGAGTCCCTTGCTAACAGCAGAGGGACCAACATTTCTGCAAGTGAATAGCTGGAATGTTTGATAAACGTGCAATGCCATAAAGCTGTACAAATGTACAATTTCACATACCCATATTAACATTGAGATATTTTACACTGGTATATCACAAATGTGAAACATAAATTTGACAGAATTATCTATTAAGAGAGCATCACCCAGGAAACAGTTTCGTTTCTGAATTTCATTTCACACAGTATTCCGGTCAATGTAGCACACCATATTTAACCAGTGATTACGTAAGCCAGAACATGACATTTACGTAAAATAAAACTCAGCTGTCAGAGAAATCTCTTCTTAAACAAGGCTCTGGTGTAAGTACCTTGTGTAACAAGGTTCTGATTGACAGACTTCTCACTCTAAGCTAGAGGCCAGCGTTTACAACAGAGACTCTACAAGGAGAGTGAAGAAAGATGACATTGACAATGTTGATACAGAATGAAAGAAGTCCAGTCATTTAGAACAAATGGATTTTTACAAGTCTCATAAATCTGTCTATAGGCATAGGACATCATATTTATATGCATGTATAGAAAGACAGATAGATAGAAAGATATAAAATAACCAACCACTTAAGTTTTGGCTTGGGTCTAAATGAAATTAGAAGTCTGTAAAGCTTCTATTAGAATCACTTAAAGGAAAAAATGGTACAGCTTTCTGGTAGTATATTTATTCCAGTATTTCATACATGTATAGCACTTTATGTTCAAAAGAGGCATAAGTATATACTTTCTTAATCATTATTTACGTAGTAGAAACTCCTATCTAAAAGTGACAATAATTCTTAAAACCAACTGTTACAGAAAATGTTCTAATCCTCAGAAATAGAACTGTATCCTTGCTTTATGAAAGGTCTAACATATTTCAGATGTTCAAATTTAAAAAGTGGTTACTAAGTAATTTGGACATCACTAAATAAATTTGTAGATTTTTTCTTTAAAAGAAAATATGATTAAGACGAGAACAGAAAGAAGAAAAAGAAACCTCTGAAACAAAACATGCAAGCATATCTGCAGCGAGATGACAAGTGCAAGAAAAGCTAAAAATATTATCTGAAACCACATATATACAATGGCAATGCTATAAATAGTACTTGTATTAGATTAGAGATGACAGCAGCCTAAAGCTGTTTCCTACTTGAAATCAGCCAGTCTAATCCAAGTCCCATTAAAAAGAGTGGAAAAGAAAAATTTATTTTAGCTAAGTCAGATGACACTCAACCAGAGCAGTTACTAAGTTTATTCTACCTACATTCAAATGCAAATTTTATAAAATTAGTCTTTTAAGACTAGGGAGACATTCTCCCTAGAAAGATACAAGCAATATCCAGTCAGTGGTGCTGCAAGCATTCAAATTCTCCTTATTTTTAGTAGTTGTCATATTTGTTGTGGAAAATGTTTAACAACTGCAATTACATAGGTAAAAACCTGTGACGATTGTGGTGTGTTCAGAGCTGTAAGAAAAGCTGTAAGCTTTTTCCACAAGAAAAAGCTGCCATCACAAAGATGCTACAACACCAATATTTTCAAAAGCACAACCACCCAGGATTTTCCCATCAAAGTACAGCATGATAGCCTCCCACCTGGAAACACAAAATTTGACACTCTGAGAAAGAACAAATGTTCTCCTTACATCCTAGTTATCTGGCTTTCCAAAGAGCCAGCCTCTTCCAAGTAATTCTCTGAATACACATACTGAGAAGACAGTGGATAAACAGAGGAAATGGAGCTTCTGTCATCAGTAATGGGTGTATACATCAACTGGCACACATTTTTTAATCTGTAAGATCTTTCAGTCCAAAGTTAAAGCAAACTGAGTAGAACAGAAATCAGAAAAAACTCCAAAGTAAAATATCTCTTACAATCCTCTCTTTTTCCTGACAAACAAAATTTTAATTATAAGATCTTTCCTGTTAGCATAAGCAGCAAAAGCATTTAAAAAAAGACATTTTTACTGGCTTAAACATGCAGCGAGCATCAGTGATCTAATTTTCACTCTTCATTTTATTCCTCAGAGATGCAAACCAGTCATGTTTTAAGGAAGATGATGAATAGCCTTCCTCTGGCTTATTTTACAAGTTTTCCAAATCCTAAGAGTCATATCTTGAAGTTAAATATAATGTTTTAGAAAATGAACGACAAATATTGCAATACTTGTCTTTCTGAAGAATTCAATTGTAGAAAATAAAATATGCTTACTTTAGACTTAACCATACCATAATGGGTGAAACTATTTATTATTTCAAGAGTACTGGGTCTGGGCTTGCTTGGCACTACAAAGGTGATCTCACTCTGTTTCATAGCTGCCCTGAGTTAAACCTAATTAGCACTCCATGAATATTCAATATTTGAATTTCAGTAGTGCAGTAACTTGACATCCATAGAGTATTGTCTACAGCCATAAACCAACCCTAAAAATTATAAAACTATCTGAAAAACAGAACTTCAAAAGCACTTTCCTTGTGAATTCCAATACCACACAAAAATCAATATATTATTTGGTTAAATTAGTTGCTTACAAGCAATACTGTTCTCTACACTTTTAGCAAATTTCTACTCCAGTCATCTTTATATTTAAAAACGTCAGGGCACTTCCTCAAAGGCAAATAGCAACAACTGTATTTAACTTATCAATATGCTTGCCCTCATTTACTAGCTCACAAACAGTAGACACCTGCAAAAGAGACAAACAGCTTGGTTGTTTGGTTCCTAAATATGCTGATTCCATGTAAAATTAATAATCCTGGTCTTATCAAGAGAGAATGACGTGATTCTAGAAAAAATCACATTTGCCCTAAACAGCTTGCTACTTCCTAGAAGTTTTAAAAATCCGTCAACTTTATGATTAAACTGCACTAAAGAATTACTTGTCCATCACGTTTAAGAGCCCAGAAACAGTATTTTTATAATAGTCTTCCACATATATTTAATCTTCATAAGCCATGAATTACCCTTCTAACAAATTATGCCCTATAAAGCATATTTAAAAACCCCTCTTAGTTAGAGACAAATATTACTACACAATTATGTAAAGTAATGAATTCACTTTGGTTATATTCCTCACAAGCAAATAACTTTGGAAGAAGTACAACAAGGAAATACATCCTGCCTTAACAAGTAGAACCTGAAGCTGGACATCTTTGTGTCTAGGATTGTTTATCTTACACGTGGCAGCAGAATCAGGCTGAAACTGCAACAGCTGTTCCAAAGAGTAATATTTGACAAGCACCAGTGAGCAGTAACATAAGATCACCCTAAAAAGATTTGCAAATCTGGTTCTTTGCTCTTTAAATAAAATAAATCAAATGCTTATTCTCAAAACAATGAGAACCTTTTACATTTTCAGGAGTCTACACAAATACATAGCAGCAATGGTGGCTTCAGGTTGAAGAGAGAATAACAGCAGCTTTTCAGTACAAAGAAAAAGGTCACTATGCAGGTTATTTATAATACTGAAATGAAGCTGACAGCTATGAAGCCTTTTTTTTTAATTGCATGAGCATTATGCAATCTCCTTGAAGCTCAATCAAGCACTCAGCTTTCTAAAACAGCTAAGCTGTACTTGGGAAAATAAAGAACTTCCTCGCTGTGTACACTACCCATTTAATTTATAAATATATGAGAAGTCACAGATGATACACCAAGTATTTGTAAGCATTTTATCTAAAGTAGTTGACATGGCAGAGAACGGTATGCTTGCACAATTTATTCAGAAGTTATTTTTCACACACTTGCCCAGAAATGCTCCTCACAGAAGCCAATGGGTTGCAAAGCTCAGTTTAATGTCACTTGCAAAATGAATTATGTACAAGGGTAAGCTAAGTTTGCATTGTGTCTATTTACATTTTGGGGCCCTGGTTCTGCTCTTGTTTACAGCAGTGTAAACCAAATTACACAGAAGTGATACTAGTATAAGCATGAGAAGATCTTGTTATCTTAATGGCATTTAAAAAAAGGTTCCATCTTCCACCACAACATGCCACCACACAAGAAGTACATGGGTCTTTTTGAGTTTCACTGTAAGGCCTACTTTGTCTCTGTTATGACTGAAAGATGGTTTCTGAGAACTGGGAAAAAAAAAAAAAACTAAAAAAAAAAAGCCAAGCTTGAAACTTCCCCCCCCCCCCAAAAAAAAAAACCCAAACCAAAACACCAAAACCAACCCATGCCAAAAAACCCACAACAGTCAGCTGTGGCAAGGAGAACCTAGCAGACAGCATAAACATTATTTTTGGATGCAGACAGATTGTGTCTTACTAGAAAGGCATTAGAGTAACTGTAAAAAACAAGAGACTAAACAGAGGGATAATACCCATGGAAAAAAAGAATCAATCTTCCTCTCCTTTAATTTCTCCAGTTTCAGTTGTAGAGGTGAAAGATCGAGGAATGAGAATAAAAATAGTTCTTTAAAATCTCCTACCTCGTTGTTTGGGTCTTGAATGACCTTATAAAGAGCTGGTACCAGTGGTTTTTTTCGGTGCAATGTAGCTGCATAGCTGGAAATTTGTGATTCAGGTAATGCCTAAAGAAAAAAAAAATAATGAAGTCTCATCCCAACAGCCAAGAAAAGTCCTGAAGATCAGTAAATTTTCAGACTTGTAACCTAACTGTTGAGTACAAGTCCTTCTCCATAAAAGTAGCATTTGGGAGCACTTCACCACTTTCAGGCTTAAATCCAAAAACAGTTTAGACTCATCTTCCATAAATCATTTGCTTTATTTTGGTAGGAGGAATCTCTTTCTTGATAGCCTGTATTTAACAGGATCTTTTTGAAGACTTCATCAAATCAACTCAACTTATTTAAGAGGTGTCAAGAGTATAGAATGAGCATGGACAGTCTCGAGTCTTCCCTCAGCAACCATGTTTGTGGATTTTGCACCCTTGGAACTTAAGCAAATTTCCAACAACAGCACATGATGACCTACTCTCATCAATGATTGAGGAACTACTAATTCTTAATTTAAATAATAGAATAATTTCTTATCACTCATGAAATCCTGTTTTCTTGTCTATGCATTACCCTGTATTTCACTCAGCATATTTATCAATATGCAAAATAGCGTAAAAATACTTCAAATCCTTCACGATGAAACAATTCATCTTATGCAGCTCATGGGGGAGGAAAAGTAAAGTATTTTCCTTTTTTTTAAGTCCAAATAAATATATACTAATTATTTTTAAATTTAAAAGTTCTTCAATTGCAAATTTGGGCAGCATTATCCAGCTGTTAGTTAAATTCTAACAGCTTGACCTACACAAAACACACATATTTAAAATACCACATTGCTATTGCTGTGTTCTGCTCTACAATAATAAACAATAAAAATAAACTTCTATTAGAATTATGCATTACATATTATGTACCAGCCAATTCAATTACATAGACCTTTGGATGTTTATGAATTAAAAGAAACTGAAAGATCAAGTAATAGAAATTTAAAATGTTCATTATTTGATTTTAAAAAGCCCCACTACTATGTTTGGTGGGATTAAGCCAAGGGTTTGGATATCATTAATCTTCCCAGTTCACCTTGAATTCTGACAGCCATTCTTCCACCACACCTCGTTCTGATCCCAGCATTTTCTTACTTCTTTTGCTTCTCTCTTACCTTTAGAAGAAAAAAAAAGAAGTTAAATATTAGTTATGGTAGGAAAATTTAGTTTTTTACAATCCTCCCCAATGAAAAGCTGTTAATGCCTTTGCAATAAGATTATATAATACAAAACAATTCAAAAGGTTGCATTTTGGACAATCAGTCCTATTATTTAACAGTAATTTAACTGTTTTCTTTGTTTAGTCTAAAATGCTCTGCATAAATGGGGAAGGAGGAAAAAGAAGGATTCAGTGCTTCAGGCCACTTGTCTTTCAGTTGTGTTTTGAAAATTACTTAGGTTCAACAAAATTTACATACAAGTTACATCATGGAAGTCCTACAATAAATGACCTTTTGGTAGCCAGACTAGATGACTGGAATCATCAATTCTCTTGTCAGAACTTACTTCTTTTTGTATTTATTATGTAACTTATTTGTATTTAAGAACAATCAGTATTTGTTAAATGAAAAGTGAAGTGAAATAAGATAAAAGGCTTCCCAACACATTTTTTGAGTTAATGTATCATTTTTTCAATGGCCCTTGGCAGGAAATCATTAAGAGAATACCAACTCTCTTGTGGGCAAGGAACTGCTTCAGATTTCTAAAGTGTGTTTAAACATCCTAAAATACAACAAATTCAGAAATAACATTAATTTAAATTCAAGTAACACTTGAGAGACTTATTTCAGCAGAAGCACTGAAAAATAATTCTGTAAAATAACAGAACTAATTAGATCTCTGCAAACAAAAGTTTACAAAGACATCCTGATGCCATGTCAGAGTGATACATGTATATAATTTAATTAAAATATCATAGCACATGAAGCTGAGTTCTAGTTCATTCTGCCTGGAAAAAAACCTGCAACATTAAACTTTACCTCTTTAAAGAAGTCAGTTTTCTAAAGGAGGAAGAGGAGAAGGAATGCAGAAATTTTTCAACCTGGGATGCATTTGTCAAGCCTTCAAGTACTGTCCTGTTTTCTAAAAGACAAAAGAACCCCATATCATGATCACAAAATCAGGAAAAAATATAGTAAAGTAAAACAAGCACTAATGTAAACATTTTTTGGCCTTACAAATTGAAGTTTACCAAATCCTCCAAATTCCACATGAACCCTTCTGCAATAAAGCAATTTGCCATTAAAAAAAACCAAAACCAAAAACAAACAAAAAAAAAAGGCTCCGTGTTTCAGCAGGAGGAAGGGAGGAATTGCCTTCATCCAAACAAAAGATTTTTGTCACTTACGTAGAAAATCCTTCTGTGTTAGTGAGGCACAGTACTTACAAAGAACAACATAAGACAAAAGAAGAAAGCAATAATTTTATAAAATGTGAACTGAATTCATACCCTGACTTTGGAGAACATGTAATACTTAAATTGAATATATTAAAGACTCTCCCATACTATAATTTCTTAGGCACATATTCCTTACAGAGCCAAAATTTCAGTGCTGTGAAAATCAGGCATCAAACTAAAGTTCACCTTCTGCTGAAGAATCCCTTCACAGTGAGCCTGAGGAAAACAACACACACAGGAGCACACTTCAGGTACATCAGTGGTTTTGCCATGCACCGAGCTTCAAGCTTCCCTGTTTGGGAATTTCCTGCAGTGCAAATCAGCTTGAGAAGCACAACTGCTGGATCAATGCAGAAGCACTCTACATCTGGTCGGGCTGTGGTCACTGCCAGTTCTGTTTTAGGACAAATTGTCTCTGCCTTTCCAATTATTTGCCCGAATATTAAAGATATTTTAAGGACTTGTACAAAGAGGCAAGACAGGCAGCTGAGGGACTGCCCCAGCCTCACACACAGATGACTGGGATTTTCAAATGGCCATCTGGAAAGCACACCTCATGTTTACACTCACTCCCTGGTTTGCTATACCTTTGGGGGAAAATATAAATATATCCAACATGTGTGGGTGTGTCCCTAAAGTAAACTGGTTCAATACATTAAACCCTGTGCATATTTATTCAAGGCTGAAGTAGCCTGAACCAAGAGTATTGAATTTAATTTCCAGTGTTCACATGTCTCCCAAAGCAAACAAAATACAGAGAATATAAGAGATTTCTCATGTTTATTTTAAAAACATTATTTTTTTCTACTATGATTCAAAGGTTCTTATAGTATATAGGAACCATAAAAAACTAATAAAAAATTCAGTTATTAGTAAAAGTAAAAATAAAACATACCAAAATATTTTTACATATGGTCTGATGAAGATTTCTTAAATACTGAACAAGTAATCAAGTTTGAATTCATACTAAAGCATGGAACAGGAGAAGTTATAATTAGGAATGCAGTCACTCAGTGTTAAAATCAAATACAAAAAATCAATTACCAAAAATCATCCCCATAAAAGCACCTGAAATGAGAGTTTAAATGTTTTCTCCTAAACTTACTCATTTGGCATAAATGAGCAGAGTATGGCACATGAGGCTGTTAAATTAGACCTGGAATCTTTATACTTAAAATGAAAGCTATAATACTCTGTTCTGAAGGAAGTCACAGCCTTGCACTGCGCATCTGCCAGTTACAGTTAACAAACAGAATTTTACCAAGTCAGAGCACTCTCCTTGATCATGCTATGCACAGAGATCATGGAATCATCTTGATTGGAAAAGACCTTTAAGATCACCAAGTCCAGCCACTGTGCAAAACAGCACTGCCAACTCCACCAATACACCACATCCTTCAGTGCCACGTCTACCTGGGCTTTTAAATCCCTTCAGGGATGGTGAACTCACCATTCCCAATATTTTTGCCTTTGAAAATACAAAAGTTTATTCCAACAATATACTATTGGAACAATGAAACTTAAAAACTCAGGTAACTCCTGAAGAATTTTTGGCTACAATAAAAGAAATAAAAGAGGGTCAACTGTGCTCATCAGAGAGCTTGTTTCCCACTTACATTTAGAAGAAACACATACTGAATACATTATTATTTACCAACCTGCATTTAAACCAAGACTAACCAAAATAAATCTGCAACAGCACAATGATTACCCAGATAATCTCAGCCACTACCACTTACTGCACTATCAACTATAACAGTGGGGATTAGAAAGAAAAAAAATGCCACTGATTAGATATTCAGAACTGATGATATTTAAGAAGATATGGCTATTCAAGTATGCAGAGGGGTTTTTGTTGATGGTGTGTATTTTATTCAGAGCTTTTGTCGGTATGTTTGCTTTAAAGAGGCCAGTAGTTTATACTGGTCTAGACATATGTGGGAGAGATTACATTACAGGACATGCACTTCAAACTGAGTCCAGTTCTTGGCCATTTTATACCACACAGCAAAATGCATACAACACAATTTTCATACTAGTTGCACAATGAATGAAAATATTATGCATTTTTACCTGAAAGGCCATGAGGAGAATAATTTGCATTTAACACCTGAACTGTGTCAGCCAAAAGAATAAAACTTCCTGCTACATGATTTCTTCACAGTGCCATTTGTGCAAGAGAACATTATGGAGTGACAAGTCCACAAGAACAGAAAACTATTATCAATTATAGCTCATTCTTCCAAGCTACACTCCTCTCATATCTCTAATTGATTACTGAGCATGGAAAGAAATATATTTGAAGAAAGATTTTTCCATGCTGCCTCTGTTAAAAAAATAGTGTGGAAAGCATCAAGAATGCATCCTTACTCTGAACTGAACACACTTTCAGTTTGTTTGATTCAGCAAGTTCATAGCTCTGTAAGAAGAGCACCTGTGTTAAACATGACCAACACCCTGGAGAGCAGAACAGATAGGAGACAACATGGGATGAGGTGGTCAGGAACACACAGGAAAGAAACTTCCCCACCACACACCCACACTAACGAGACTGGGAAACTCTGGAGGAAGAAAACCAAGCAACATGCTGATAAATGCAGATAACAAAAGCACAATTTGAACTTCTCGTGACGAGCTATTCCTGAGTGCAGAGGTGTAAAAGACTAAATGGAAAAAGACTAGATAATATATTTGATGATGCAATGAAAACATCTGTTCAGGAATGCATCAGCAGCCAGACAATAAATCAAGATGCTTGATCACAAAAAAGTCATTTAAAGTAAATCTGAAAACATGAAAGTAGAGCATACAAAACTGGTAATATGCTCATATCTGAAATACTGGCCTACATTTATTGCAAACAAAAGAAATATGTATAAAGTAGAAAAATGTTTAAGAAGTAGTTGAAGACAAGGATTGTGAAAAATAACTTCTAACCTGGATATGAGAATAATTTTTTTAAAAACAGAGGAAATAAAGAGCTCTTTGTCTTAGAAGCTCATGGAATTAAGTGGCTGAGAAGGTAGAATGGACTTTTTCTTGTAACAGAGTAATAAAAAATAAAAGTTTGAATGCACCAAGATAGAAATCTTAGACTGTTAACAGTGTACTGCTTCTCACACTGTAAGTTACCATAAAACATCATGAGGACAATAAGAAACTATTGTAGGTAAACACTGTAATACCTGTTTAATATAGTTACTTCTGTGGTAGAACAAGAAGAGCAAAGAAGAAAACTTAATGCTGTCAACTAGCACTTCACTGACATGTTTTACAAAAAAAATTCTCTTAACAGCCACTCATTGCTTAACCACTCAGTATATAGGTGTATAAAGCTTCATCCAGCTACTCTGAGTTATACACCAGAAGATATTAAATAGTCACAGTATGGTCTGTTTCTACACTAGAAAAGGGTCTGACTCTCATGCTAATCTAATCCCAAGGAAAAATAAAACCAGCCTTGCAAATGTTCAATTTTGGTGGATGGCTTCTTGTACTTACTTAAAATATATGCATTGTAATACACATCTCTTTTGATAAATATAGTACAAATACCTTTGTGATTTCCCTGTATCCATATACATAAACACATTATTCTACCAGAATCCTATTTAGTAGACACTTACATAAACTGTCATTTTGGTAAGAACATAAAATAATACATTTTAAAACTATTGTCCTCAACAAATCAGAGCTCCAGCTGCAACTTGCCATTTGAAACAGGTTCAAACATTCTGCCAGAATTCTCTTGGCCATACAGCTCCAGAGTACAGAGAAACAAGGTAAAAACTGACAAAGACAGAAAGAAGCAAATCCTCCCTGGGACAGTTATTAATTTAAATTGTCAGCTCAAGCCTTCTCCTTAATAGAAAGGGCACTCTTCCAACTCTAGTTTTTAGGTAATTTAATTGCAAGCATCAGCAGACAGGCATGCATTCCAACTTTAAAATATAAATGCTGATGTATTCTTTATGTGGGATTTAGGTTGCCAGCCTTATTAGACAAGCCTTAGTCATGCAAAACAACTTGGATAAGACATTACTTCCCTGCCCACTCTGACTCACTAGTAAAAACCAGGCTAAAAAGCTTTCTTTTTGGATACCAGCAACAAAGAAAGGTATGTGAAAACAATGGGAGAAAGCCTTACCACAGAGAAGTCAAAGATGATGGATAACAGTCTTGTAAACTTTCATGGTACCATACTTGCACAGTAAGATCCATTTCTTATCAAAAAGGTCACATCAATTTCAGCAGCTGCCAAAAAAGGGGTAAAGAAAAGGTACAGCCCATCTGTTCCAAAAAGCCTCCTCTAAGTCATTTTAAGCTCTAAATTATCTTCTGTGCCTTTTCAAGCACCTCAAAGCTCAGCTGCCAACCTTCTATCTTTTTACCATTCCGACAGTGAAACTACTTTATAGACACAAAATTGCTGAAGACAAACAATTAGGGCAGCGGGAATGAAAATGCAACACTGAAAACAGACACTATATAACAGTTTAAAAAACGACTTTAAGGCTGATGTTTTCATAGTATTACACAGAATAGTTGTAGAAAGCTACAGAAGTCAGATTACTCTACAGAGAAAAATTTAAGTGCCTCATACAGGCAAATAAGCAGAAACTGAATTAAACACAGTTATATACTCAGAGCTAAATCCCTCTCCTAGGAGTTCATGCAGCAAATAAAGCAGAAAAGAGTTGAGATAATCAAGAATGTGGAACAGGAAATTTATCTTTTGCATTCAAAGAAAACACTCCTCTACATTACTTACAGGATTTTGGAAACAATAATAATAAAGACATTATCCTGCAGCCTTAAATACCACCAAACACACATTAATTATTCTATTATAAGGACCTGACGCACTTTAAAATATATAAATACACACACACGTAGGTTAGCCACAGAAAAGTTACCTTGTTCTCTCAGCACCAGTTTCCTTAGAAACAACTTCACATAGTCATCCTACACAAAACCTAAAACATTCTCTTGTCAGGATCCTGGTGATAACCCATCCTACGCCAGACAATACAGGTTTGTCCTCCCTGTGCATCAGTTCATATGCAGTAACTCTTCCCATGCTAGTTTGTCTGCATTAACCTCTTTACTTACAAAAACATTGCCATGCAAATTACTTTCCGTGTAACCCTACCCCTCCCAAACACCTTCTCCTTCATGCTTTTGGTTCATGAAGTAAATTAAATCTACATAAGTAAAGATGCAAAATGCATAGTAAAAGAAGGAGCCTAAAAAAAAAGCCTCAGCAAACTAACAGTTGCAAAATCACAGTTAAGGTGGTCTTTTTAAGGCACTCAGTGCTAACTACTAAAAATGAATAGACACAGGCTAAGAGAAATCAAGAAACAGAATTTCTGTGGGAACAAAACCAAAACAAAATTCAAACCCAAAACAAAACAAATCAATGAAAAGACACACTACCAAAACCCCCCCAGTATGCACTTTGGAATAAGACTGCAAACATTATGCTAAGATCACTATCTGGTCTGTAAAGGAAAGAAATTCATGCAGAAATGTTCTAGAAATACCAGCTGAATATTTTAAGCAGCTTCCCACTTTAGAGCTGTAAAATCGTCACTTGAGAAAAATAAATGTCTGTTATATTACAAAAATATCCATTGAAAAGTTGAAGTCAATTCCAGACCATATCTAAATTCCAATACCAGTATATACTTCTCATTGCAGTATTCTCTACCAACTGTAACTTCCACAAAATGGAATTTAGGTTACATATTCATTAATTAATTTACCTAACCTCCTTTTTTCTACCCTATTCTCAGAGATCTAACCCAGAGGCTCCTCTGCTGAAAGTAATGAAATCCCTTATTCTAATCTTTCCAGCTTCCAGATGGTAAAGCCTCCACCTCCAGGAAGAGGAATGTAAATAGATTAAGCTGAAGTGACAAATTTCCCCCCATCCATACACTTACTTACACATTCACAAATTCTTAAATGAGTGTAATCTCCAAATTTATCTGAATTTACCTCAGTTATAGCTAAAATTATGTCATCTTGCTGACTTTTAAAAATGATGCAGTAAGAATACAAAGTTCCAAAGAAACTTTCAAAATGGCAGAGTTAAAATAAAGATCCTGAAGAATTAGGACATTGTTTTATTGCACGATGCCATAAATCTCATATCTGACTCAGATGCTTCATTCACATTTAAGATGCATGGTTTTCAAGGATAAAATTAATTCTGATTGATATGCTGGTCTTAGCTTTCCATTACAAGTTCCCAGACTTGAAAAAGCAAACTCAACAAATGTAGTTAAAAGAAACATCACTGATCACTCATCAAGATGACACAATTTCAGGACAGGCCAGATCTCTTCTGCCTGACCCCTATTCTGCTTGGAATATGGGAGCAAGTTGAACCCTACACACTGACAAGGACTTCAGTCACACACAGAGACTGTTCACTACTCAGAGGTGAAGCACAGCAGCTTCAAGAATTCTGAAATCTAAGATCTGCTGCAACATTCACAGTTAAAACTGTAGCTGCCTTCATTGCTTCCAACTGTCACTGCCGAGGAAACAACTTGTCTTCTCCCATGTCACACATCACAGCACGATGTCAGTGTCAGTCATTTTCTGCCTCACACTAGTTTTCTGAAAGTTACAGAGGGGTTTTAAGAACTGCAAAGAACAATCTCACCAAACGCAGGGAAAACCACTGTTAATTTTATATTGAGATTAGACAGACTGTACAAGTCAGAATTTCCACATACAAGAAATAAGACATGTACCTGACCATGTTAATTCTATATAATGCAATCCATTAAGAGCTGTGTGAACACCAATGATTAAGATATTTGACCCAACTGATTAAGGTGATTGTACTACAAAAATTGATGCTTATGACCAGCCCTACTATTAACTTCACTACTAGGATTCCTCCAGAGCAGGAAATTACAGAGCCTTTGTTGGACTCTCCTTCACAGAAAACAGGCAAAGAAACTGTGTCTGTAAAGAAAGTGTAACACTTTTTCATCACCTTATTAGAAGCTCTCACAAAGCTCTGAAACTCAGCTTACTATAATTGGCACTCTGTGGCCCATTACTGGGAAGCATAAACTGCTTTTCAGTGAAATAACTGCGTGAGAATTAAAACAGTAGTAAATGTAAATTAGTGCAACAACTACACCAGGTACCCCCTTTGTCTTGGTATGAGTTTAATAATTTATCTTCACTGCTGAATAGTTAAACACAATGCATATTGCTTACAGTCATTATTCTTCTACTCTTAAACCAACATTACAACAGAATGCAAACCAACCAGTCACAAGAATGGACTAATGAATATTTTACTGTGAAATTATTCATTTTTCATGTATTTTTAAATAGGACACTAAGTTACTAACATATGTGGGGGTATTACTTGGGGAAGGTGTTTGGATGGTTTTTCTGGATGTTTTAATCTGAAATTTAAACAACCCTTTTTCTAGAGCAAAACTTCATATATAATATCTTTAGGAACATGACATAAACACAGAAGAAACAAGATTTTCCACAATATTTCTCATTTACCTAAGCTATAGGCCAGTATAAAAAATAGTGTAAAACCACAACAGAACGAAAGAGAGACAAAAAGAAAACTGTCTTCCACAGGTGCTTGATGACTCCAGTTGGAATACACAGCCTTTTTTCCTTCTTCCCTCAACACTGCAGAAACAAGAGCAGGATCTTAAATGCACACTACAATTTTCATACATGTTTTCTATTTATGACCTGAACAAAATTAAAAGCTTTTGTCAAATACTGTCCCAATGTATATTCAGAAAATTTGAGTCTTTCAAGATTACGAAAAATTACAGATTTGACAGGCAGCACTGAAAATCCATGCAGCAAGCTTTACAGCTAAGCTTTCCCAAGTTTTTTTGTGTACACGGGGAAGTGGAATTTATGTAGAGATGGTTAATTTTACACTGTTCTAGGTTTTCAAACATATTTTCTTGCACTCCAAAAAACCTCACTGAGGACTCAATGTTCTAATCTTCAGGCACTTTTACATAACCTCATCCATACACAGAGACACTCTGGGTTTTTGTTTGTACTACTGAACAGTTTTCCTGCTTAAAAAAAAAAAAAAAAAAAAAGAGAAAAAAACCCAACAAAACAAACCACCTTCAAAAGCAGTTGGTAAAACAGAGCTTTTCCTTTCCTCAAGTTTCTGGAATAAATTTACCATAGGTAGAAGACCAGAGATGGCCTTATATGCAAACTTGTTAGGGGTTATACTACTACTTTTTGCAACATTAATCATCTTTGAGCAATCTACTTCAAATGAAATTCACCCACATGAACTATAATAAACATAAACAGTTTCTCTAATCTTTTACAGGTACTGCCCATCTGTGCAACAGTTATGACCTTCTACTTTTTTATTAATTATACTGGCATAGAGCAAATTCAGTCCATTCTCTTCAAACACAAGCAAAAATTTTTAATCAAAGCCTGAGTTTAATTAAAAGCCTGTTCTGTTTCCCTATGCAATTGTGCTGATAGGGATCAGCAGCACTTACCAAAGTTCAAGCAGCAGGCACCTGAAATGCTAGATTACACATTTTTGGTGTAAGTAATACACTCATCTTTCATGGAGCATGCTCCACAAAACAGCCTTTCAAGGGCAACTTAGACAGAAGGTTTAGAAATACTGAGGTCATTGAAATGCACAGTGGACCTGCAGAGAGAACATGGAGTAACTTCTCAAAAAGTAGGGCTGATCCAGTATAAAGGCAAAAAACAACTTGAAGAAAAAACCCCACTGCCAAGAACAAGCCAAAACCAACGTGCACAGTCCACATGTGACTCCTTCAGCACATGAAAAAACTGTTCTGGAAATACACACCCAGACCTAACACCCCTGTACTTGCCATTATGTTCAGATTTGCAGGTTAAGATGATTACACCATAATTATTTCTTATCACTGAGCAGCAAGGGTTTCATACTTGGAGGGAAAATCCTCACGGTTTTCACCTTATCTGCCAGCTATCCAATTGGCACTTTAAGAACATATTCATAACATATTTTAACAATTATATTCTCTAATCAGTTCTATCTTTTTCATTTAAACTATTAAAACCAAGAAAATGGCAACTTAAACATTCCCCTGCAACAAAAAAGGAAATGCTAATAAAAGCCCTTTCCATTTTCTATAGATATGACACATGTGCATAAACATGCAGAATTTACTCATAGCAACCTTATATATATCAGAAAGCTCTAAAGTCTG